TCATGTACAGTGGGACACTGGTGACCTGGCCAAATGAGGCACTGGTTATGCAGAAGAAAAACAATGAAGACTGCAGGTATGGCTGAGATTTGAATCCAGAATCTCCTGTTTATTAGACAGGCACTTTAACCAACTAAGCCATGGCACCCACATTATTTGTCTTGCTTTTGCTGTTTGGAAAAAAAAAAACATAAATTAATAACTAAATGTCATGAGAAGGTTCCCCCCACTCGATTGAGAGGATGAGGAGGAAAGTGCAGTACTTCTTCAGAGGTGCGACAAAACACCACCTCTACTTACAGGTATTGCTGGCTTAATCTATTGCATGTCAACACTATGCTTGCAAAACATATGTCGCCCAACGTGGGGCTCGAACCCACGACCCTGAGAGTAAGAGTCTCATGCTCTACCGACTGAGCTAGCCGGGCAAACATACATATGGTGTGTCTGCAGTGGACCCACGATGACACTCATATGTCCTTGGAAAATACCTTGAGCGCAAGGATAAAGTCAGGTGTGATAACACGGAGCATGCTCGTAATCGGGTCTCTGTGGCGCAATCGGTTAGCGCGTTCGGCTGTTGACCGAAAGGTTGGTGATTCGAGCCCACCCAGGGACGGTAGAGTTTTCCCTCCACCCTTATTGTAGAAAATCTAGTGAACTGTAGAGGCAAATCAATCAAAGGGTGCGTTTTGACACCCTTGCTCCTCTCCTCCCTTCCTCCACCTCCCCACCACCACCTGAAAAAATGTGGAGGAGAGGAGGGAAAGAGGAGATGCAGAGTAAAGCTAATCTGCTAATGGAACAGCTAATCTGCTTCTCCCGCCAACAAAATCGACGGTGTCTGTCCATGAGGTATCTAACTTAGATTGATACCCAGAATACCCAAGCCAAATACGCTTCTCATCCACGCCAGCCCTTCTCATGCGTTAAAATGTCAGTTACTCTCATTCCGCTGTTTGGAGTCATGATTTCACATAAACAAACACAAGGAAATCCTTCGACCCCAAGGCCTTTCGATTTGAGTGCTGACATGGCGTCTGTTGCTATTTGGACTCAGGAATGCCCTAACGTTTAGAACGTTAGGAAATTAAATGGTTCACAGTTTTACACGAGTTTACCACAGAATTTAGGAAGAGATTGCCATTCGCGACTACTAGCTAGCAAGCTAAATGACAAACATAAGATAACCTAAGAATAATTGCTTGATTGCTAGCTGCCAACGTAGGTGGCCGTGTGTGGGCAGAAAATTGTTGCCAGGCAAATTGTTCCGGATGAGACCATTTAATGTAGAATTTTGGCGTTGTTGCTCTGCGCTCATGGTTAAGAGGGAATCCTTGTATCCTAATCTGTCACTTTCCCTCAGAGGGGCTTGGAAAGAGAAGACTTTGCCCTAGACGACTGGCACCTGACTATACAAATACTACGACAACTTTACATTTGTTTTAGATTTGTCAGCATGGAGGCAAAATACCAAAACTTAATCAAACAATAGATACTTCCTAAGCTGAAAGCTTCCTTAGATAACTGACAGATAGCTAGCTCTCATTACTAGCTTTCACTAAATCGCTAACTGGATCGCTAGCTAGCTACCTAAAATTTACCTCAGAGAAAGACACTGCCAGCTATATTAGCGGAAGACATTGTTAGCTGTATTAGCACTAGCTAGCTTGTTAGCTAATGCTGCCAAGCGCTATTTAGTAGAAATTACTCAGATGAGGGAAGACATTACCTATTACCTCAGAGATATCTAACAACACAGTTCATATTTCAGTCTACAAATGTCATATTTCTACACTGTTATTAAAACGATCTTTTAGATGTTGTGTATGTTAATAATGTTCTACTCAGAATAGATAACTAGTGAGTTGACAGCTTGACGAGAGATGTGGCTAGCTACAATGATCGAGCTGATCCATCACAGTATTAGCAACTAAATAGATGTATCCCTATCTTTCTTTCTTGTAGGTTTCACCTTCTAATACATGGGGACGGATGGCTCATCCCTGAGGAGGGTTGCGCTCTCTGAGGAGGAGAAGGTGTCCATCCTCACGGAGGTTTGTAGCAGCCAATAGCAACAGTAAGGGTAAATGTTATGGAAGCCTGACACTTGACAATAAATAAAACTTAAACATAGTGATATAAGTCTATTACTACATTATTGGCTCCAATTATTACATTTTTAATGATTTTTTTTTTAACCCAGCTAATAATGTAATAACCAGTCAATAATGTAATAACTTACTACATTATGGGCAAAAAGTTTTAATGTGATTGGTTCAGAAATGTTATTACATTATTGGTAAGTTATTATGTTACTGACTTTTATTACATTAAGAATGGAAAAATTACTACGTTATTGGCAGTTATTGCATGGTATTTATTACATAATTGGCTGCTACAAGGTCCACGCCTGCCACTTTGGACGTAACTGCATGGTGGGGAAGATTAGGCAGCGGTTCTACTGGCATAACATCAGATAGGATGTGGAGTAATGGGTAAGTTGATCCATATTAGGTCCTGTCTCACATATGCACTTTATAGTTTTCATTATTTTGACATAAAATCCATTATAATGCATCACAATGATATTGTATACATAATGTATCAAATGTATAATGTATTACAATGATAGCTGTGGTACAGCCTAACTGTATCTAGTATATCTTAAAGCATTTTTATGTATTTACAATAGAAACTGTACAGTGTAATTATAACCTCTGTCAAAACCTTTCTGCAGTTTAACACAGCTTTTTTTGCTTTATTGCACCTTTACTTGTAGATCAGCACCTGTGTCCCATGCCAAAAGTTTGATCGGGTAAAGACGGAGGCACCAGAGATGAAGCCAATCAAACCAGTGGCACCATGGAACGTGATTGGTATGATTATTCATCATGTGAAAGTTAGCATTTCAATCAGATTTAGAACTATTGATTCATGAGTTTCCTCTGTCTCTCTTTAGAAACTAAGGTGTTGATCTCAATGGGCCGTTCAAGACATCAAGGAACAGGAAGCGATTCTGTTTGACGGCCACAGACTTCTTCACAAAATGAGTAGAGGCCAGACCCATCAGGGACAAAACGGCAGCGGAGACCTCACAGGTGTTTATGTTTTCTAGTATACCTAGTGTATTTGTAAAAAAAAAAAAATGGTGACCTGGTGATATGTCTGGAAGGCTGCTAAATCTGGACGCGATGAGAGTGAGCTGGCCACGGTACTTGGGAAGCTCCGCTGTTGGTTGCCAGCAGCCGTAGGAATGTTAATCATCATTTTTTTTAATTGTATGAAAGCAAATCGAGTGCATATCAGCTGCATGCCTGGCTGGGAGGTTTAGGAGGTACATTGTGAGTAGTGAGGACTCAGCTGGGGAGGCAAATTGTACACAACGGTATCTAGCTATTTTTACACTTGATAAGATTCTTCAGTACAACACAGTTAACATATGTTTGTTTATTTGTAGTACTAGTAAGGCTTGCCGTGACAATCAGTTAATATGTGGTTAGGTGTGAAGTTGAAAACATGTATAAATCTTGAACAAACAGTCCTGTAACTGTTAGCGTCAGCAGCCAGTTGGGAGACCTTTCTGGCGAGTATTTGACAACGTGGCCTATCTAACCAACTAAGCCACGGCGCCCCCTTATTTGTCTTGAATGAATAAATAAACATGATGAAGTGGTTCCCCACATTCGATTGAGACGATGTGGAGGAAAGTGCAGCATTTCTTCAGAGGTGCAACAAAACGCCACCTCTACTTACATGCATTGCTTGTTTAATCTGTCACAGGTCACCTCTGAGCTTGCAAAACACCTCTCGCCCAACGTGGGGCTCGAACCCACGACCCTGAGATTAAGAGTCTCATGCTCTGCCGACTGAGCTAGCCGGGCAAACGTACAAATCAGCCAACTGCAATGACTCTGTAGAGTGACTTATACATCCTTGGATTCGACTTTGACCATAAGGACAAAAGGAGGAGTAATAAAACGGAGCACGTGGCGAAAGGGCCTGTATCTTGGTCTCTGTGGCACAGTCGGTTAGCACGTTCAGCTATTAACTGAAATGTTGGTGATTCAAGCCCACCCAGGGGCTGCTGTGTTTTCTGTCAGGCTCAATCATAGCACTTCAGTGATCTCATGTGAACCCCCTAACAGGTGCTGACCATCCTTCCCCCACAATCGAGGGCTGTGTTTTGACTCTTTTGCTCCTCTCTTCATTTCCTCCACTCCCCCACTACCATTCGTCTCCTGCCTGGATGTATGAGGAGGAGGGGAGGAGAGGAGAGGAGGGAAGGGGGAGATGCCAAGAAAATTGGAACAGCTAATCTGCTTCTCCCACCAGCGATATAAGCGAAAGTCATTGCTAATTGTATTAGTTGGAAGAGCAGTAGTTCAGTGTTGCTTTTCTATGCATTGCTTCCAAGAGCAGTATCCTGCCTGCTTTTCATGTATTTGGAACTTGCATATAACATAACCCCAACCATTGGCCAAAGGGGTCATTTTACATGTAACCCTAGTTATATGTGACGATGGAGATGTGTTTCAAAGGTATTTGTTTTGAAGCGCAACTGTTTGTGGGTGCAGCTATGGTGGGAGGAAGGACGCATCTTCAGACTGACTGCCCACTAGTTGCAAATGATGTGTTCCGTGGTAAAGGGCTGCTGCCTTGGGGTTGATGGCAAACTGCTGTGACAAGGTAAGCTGGCATTTGACTGAAATCGAAACCTCAGTTGCTGCACAACCACAGCGCTGAAGAAACCCGGGACTGAACCAGAATATGGACCTTTAGATCTTCCAACTGAGCCACTTCGGCAGATGCAAACCTGACATGCATACTGCAACGTACACATACAGTTGGACGGAGTATTCACACTGTAGCAAAACCTGTGTGGTACTTATCCTCGTTAGTAATAGTGGTGAGAATCCCTGCTGGTCACACATGGATTCGAGAGCCTTCCTTGCCTTTTTGTTTAAGCATAAAAAGTAACACACTAGCACCAAGAAGTCTTGGCCAGTCAGGGGTCGAACCCGCGACCTTGCCGTTATTCGCACCACACTCTAACCAGCTGAGCTAACCACCAGTACACTGCTTTCTTTGTGGACTTGGTTCAGAGTCCAGAGTGCAGATTGTTACACCATGGAACCCACAGGTTGATGGCCATTGAAAGGGGCAAATTCAGGGATGGCAAAACTCAACTTTCAATCACAGGATGAGCGGAATCGCCCCATGTCCCACAATGGTTTTCTCACTTGTGAACAAGAGCAGAAGCTCATGTGTTGCTTTCCCGTGCATTGAACTCAGCATCCTGGCTCGTTTTCATGTACTTGGGGACTTCCATATGATGCAGCCACAACCATAGCTAAACAATAGGGGTCATTTTAAGTGTTACCCTAGTTACACACAATCGTTGGAACCTTACGAACATCTGAAAACTGTCCTGTGTACTTTCAATTCTTTCAGGCCAGCTTACCCAGGACATATGCCTAGGTGGACAGGACTCACTAGTGACTTGCCTGATGGAATCAGTTGTTCTGAGCACAAGAAAAGAGCATGATTGCTGTTGGCAAGAATGAACAGCTGAGCTTGGTTTGTGATTGACAAGGTTTCTCCTTCCCACCCCTGCTGTGAGCAGAGGTCATGTACTGTGGGACACTGGCGTGTATCCAAGTGAGGCACTGGCTATGCAGAAATAAAGAGCAAAGAGTACAGGCAGCACTGGGATTTGAACCCAGGATCTCCTGTTTACTAGACAGGCACTTTAACCAACTAAGCCACAGTGCCCCCCTTGTTTGTTTGGGTCTTGCCGTTTGGAAAAAAAACATAAAAGAATAAATAAAAACGATGATTGAGAAGACAAGGAGGAAAGCGCTGTACTTCAGATGTGCGACAAAACACCACCCCTACTTATCACATGGCTGGCATTGATAGATTAATCTGTCGCATGTCACCACTGTGTTTGCAGAAAACACCTTGCCCAACATGGGGCTTGAACCCACGACCCTGAGATTAAGAGTCTCATGCTCTACCGACTGAGCTGGCGGCAAACATGCATACTATGGGATTACAATGGTTCCTCAGTGAGATATACCATTTACTTACCTTTAATTCAACCAATGCTTCGCCAGTTTAAGTATCTAGGGAATGATGCAAATGATGAAACCATGTGAGGTGACTCCAGGAAGTGATAAGCTGAGTGGGAATTCTGTCCAAAACTGGTGCCAGCTGAGGTTACTATCAGTGCTGATTGGAGAGAAAATTGAGTCTCCAGGTGAAAATCAAGCTTTGCAACTGGTTTTGCAATTAAGAGAAATGGTTTCTCTTATTTGTGCAAAAGCCATTTCAACTGGCCAAATAGCATAGTTGAGGAGGCTTATTGGTGAATATGTGTCTTTCAAGTAAGCAAGCTTTCCCTGATCATTTCCTGAGAATCCCTGCCGGTCACGCATGGGTTCGAGAGCCTTCTTTGCCTTTTTTGTTTGAGCATTGCAAGTAATGTACAACAACCAAAAAGTCTTGGCCAGTACGGGGGTCGAACCCGCGACCTTGGCGTTATTAGCACCACGCTCTAACCAGCTGAGCTAACCGGCCAGTGGATAGCATTATTTGCGCACTGTGTTCAGAGTCCAGAGTGCTAATTGTTATACCATGGAACCCACAGGTTGATGGCCATTGAAAGGGGCAAATTCAGGGAGGGCTAAATTCAGAAAAACTCTCAATCACGGAATGAGCGGAATAGCTCCATGTGCCACAATGGTTGTCTCACTTGTGAACAAGAGCAGGAGCTCATGTGTTGCTTTCCCGTACATTGAACTCAGCATCCTGGCTCATTTTCTTGTACTTGGGGACGTCCATATGATGCAGCCACAACCATAGCTAAACAATAGGGGTCATTTTAAGTGTAACCCTAGTTACACACAATCGTTGGAACCTTACGAACGTCTGAAAACTGTCCCGTGTACTTTCAATTCTTCTGTGACTCTTGAACTCCTTGAAAAGATCAGATGAATCTGGACTGGATGTTTTGGCAAATAGAATTTTCTATCATCTTGCAGCTTGTAGAGCATGCAATCTACACTTGATAAGGTTGCTTCTTTACGTTCCATATTGTTATTCCGGGTTACATGGTGATCGAGCAAAATTGAAAAAGGGACAGTTTCAATTATAACAAGGTATATTCATGTCAGAGGAGAGAAGTCTGAGTGAAGCATCCATTTATTCATTTTACATTAGATAAATGCCACTGAAAGGAATTTATATACACTAAACCCTTCTTTTCTGCCGTAAAACAGAGAGATTAAGTCCTTAATCTGTGAGAAAAAACCCTGTATATGATGGCCACCTTCAGACATCTGATACCTGACTTGTGTACTTTCAGTTCTCTGTGACTCTTGAAGCCCTTGAAAAGATCTGTTGAATCTGGACTGGATGTTTTGGCAAAGACAATTTTCTGTCATCTCACAGTTTATGGATCATTCATTCAACAGTTGATAAGGTTGCTTCTAAAATGGCAATCATTGTTTAAAAAGATTGGGCTAATGTGAAATCATGGTGATGTCACGTTGTCTCTTGTGAGGCCACCAATAGGAAGTGTGAATGGAGCCTGAAATCTGCATATGTGCATGAGTGCCCTGGAATGTCGTGCAAGTGTGTTACAATGACAGAAAAAAAAATCCTTTCGAATCTGATAAGCTGTAGGTGAAAAGTAGAAAGCTTTTTTTCAGTTTGTCTTCAGTTGGAGTTGTGGGGATATGTTCTTTGTGGTCACAAATAGGACTACAAAGTATGGATTCACTGTAAGACCCAATGAACAGGATTTGGATGGTGTTTAATAAGAAAAATAGGAAAACTACAAATAAAATGGGATTCTGTGACCAGAAGGCAATCTTACCCAGGACATACGCCTAGGCGGACAGGACTCACAAGTGACTTGCCTGATGGACTCAGATGTTCTGAGCACAAGAGCCTGATCGCTGTTGGGAAGAATGAAAACGGCTGAGCTTGGTTTTTGACTGACAAGGTTTTCCTTTCCACTCCTGCCTTAATCAGGGGTTATTTCCTGTGGGACGCTGGCAATGTGACCAAGTGAGTGAAAAGAAGCAAATTGGCAGCACAGGCACTGCTGGGATTTGAACCCAGGATCTCCTGTTTACTAGACAGGCGCTTTAACCAACTAAGCCACAGCGCCCCTGTTATTGTTTGCAGCTTTGCCGTTTGGAAAAAAAAACATCAATGAATAAAGAAAAATGACGAGGTTTTCCAGCCCACTTGATTGACTGGAGGAGGAGGAAAGCGCAGTGCAACAAAATGCCGCCTGTACCTATACACATGGCTGGCCCTGATGGTTTAATCTATTAAAAGTCAACACTGGGCTTGAACCCACGATTCCGAGAGTATGGGTCTCACACTCTACCGACTGACCTTGCCGGGCAAACATGAATATCCTGTGATTGCAATGACTCCACACAGAGACCTATATGTCCTTGGAATTGACCTTGAGCATAAGGTCCGGAAGTGTGTGGAGGAGGGGAGGAGAGGAGAGGAGAGGAGGGAAGGAGGAGATGCAAAGAAAATTGGAACAGCTAATCTGCTTCTCCCGCCAGCTGTATTAGCAAAAGACATTGCTAGCTGCATTAGTTGGAAGAGCAGTAGCTCAAGTGTTGCTCTTCTATGCATTGCACTCCAGGATCAATATCCTGGCTGCTTTTCATGTATTTGGAACTTGCATATGACATAACCCCAATCATTGGCCAAAGGGGTCACATGTAACCCTTGTTATATGTGACTATGGAGATGCGTTTCAAAGGTATCTGTTTTGAAGCACAGCTGTTTGTGGGTGTAGCTCTCACTCTAGCAAAACTTGTGTGGTGCTCATCCTTGTTAGTAATAGTGGTGAGTGTCCCTGCCTGTCACGCATGGGTTGAATTTCCCGACGGGGAGAGCCTTCCTTGCCTTTTTTGTTTGAGCATAAAAAGTAACATACTACCACCAAAATGATTTGGCCCGTACGGGGGTCGAACCCGCGACCTTGGCGTTATTAGCACCACGCTCTAACCAGCTGAGCTAACCGGCCAGTGTATTATTGCCATTGTGCACTGGATTCAGAGTCCAGAGTGCTAATCATTACACCATGGAACCTACAGGTTGATGGCCATGGGGGGCACCAATTCCCAAAAAGTGCTCTCCCATCCTGCCGCTTCTTGGAAGGTCGTGCAGAGATCCAAAGGACAGAGGAGAAGGAATACCAGGCAGCGGGGAATTAGCTCAAATGGTAGCAGGATCGATGCCCACATTCTCCAGAAGGTCCTCATCAAGGTCCCTCTTTTCCCATGCTCCACCAGCAGGGAGACCCACGTAGTCCCAGCGTCATGTGAAACCCTGCATGACGGTAAAAATTTCCTTCCACACTTCACCTCCAGCATTTTGCTACAGTTATTCCCTGAGAATATCTAACCACAAATCTGAAGAAAAAAAATCTAATCAACCAAAGTCTATGTCGACAACATCAATTTTTTATTGTACTTCTTCAGTCTTTAGTCATAAGGCATTTTTTTTTTTTTACTTTTTATCATCTTATTCCATTACCTTGTAACTTATGGGCCAGATGAATATCTCTCAGAAACCTGAAAATTTTTGAGCATCAAACACACACACACACACACACACACACACACAGACTGAGCAGACACAAACAGAGGCGCAGGCAAATGAATCCCCCGCAGCAACACAGCCACATCCTGCCTCTTCATCCTCTTGTTGTGCCACTGGATAAGGGTTTTTTCGGTTCGCCTCCACCAACTGCAAGTTAGTGTCCCGCGTTATTGCCCCATTGCCCAGAAGTAGCTGCCAGATCTTGCGGTAGTCTTTCAAAATTAGAGTCCATCTCCTGACTCTATTTTTTGTACCTTTGGGGTTTTGTCAATGGCACAGAGCCTCACGAATATGACCTCAATTAAACGGCAGCATTCGCCACACAAATTTTCATATTGTTCTTGGTTTGGTGTCATATGTTTTTTTTCTTGGTTTCAAGTTGTTTTGGTTTTTTTGCGCTTCAACATTTGGGGAGATTTTCAGCAAGACTGG